GTTCTCGAGCAAATAAGGTTTTATCCACCGAAACTGTAGTGGATTCTTCTGGGGAGGTAAGAAAGATGCAATGGTGGAGCTTGACCATATACAACTTCATAAGCAGTGGAGTTAATTGCAGCATGGAAAATCATATTGTACTACCATTTAGCTAAAGAGATTCAATGAAACCAAGTGAAAGGTTTCGACGAACACATGAACCGGAGATAAAATATTATAACAAGCTTTTCTAACTAAAAGTAATTAAAAGTATGGCTAACTAGATTAAATTAAATACTATAACAGTTTCACCCACACGTGTATCAATTTTATGAACTTATTTTGATTTTTCGTTTTCAAATGTTTAAGCTTTTACAAAACTAGATGCCACCCATATGCTCAAAGGCTAGGATGTGACATCCAATCGAGAATCATTAGAATAATGAGTAGAGGTGACAAAAGTGTCTTGACTCGATATAAAAAGTTGTACTGTATGTGTTTTAAAATTTGGTTGTGAACATATTGGACTCAAGATTTTTAGCGGGACATAATTTTAAACATAAACATGTTGTTATAATAATTAAACATAAGACATAACATGATTTAAAACATAAATTAATTTAAATAATTAGAATAAACAATTAAAATGGAATTTGAAAATAAAATGAAAACTTGAATTACCACTGAAATTATTTTTGTGTTCAATAATAGAAACTTGAATTTCGAATATGTCGTCACGCTTGACAATCAGATACATGAATAAAATTAAAAACAGTTTCTAAAACTAGAGTTTTGATAGCTTTTCCACACCGAAAGAGCTATCGCTTTTACATGTAAAGTCTCTTCTTAAAATTGTAAGAATAATCCTCTGATTCGAAAATAATCTCAGCTCCTTCATGTAGAACTGTCTGCTTTTATATTCCTCTGTTTATGGCCTCAGTGTCCATGACGTGCATGGAGACAAATCAGGAACTAGCTTCGTGGAGAAATAACCGTGAGACTCAGCTTGCGGAGAAATATCAGGGGCTAGTGGTTTCGTGAGTATTGACATGGAGATATTGAGTTGTGGCAAGGGCCACAGGATGCATGGCGAGGGCCACAGCTTTAAAAATTATGTGACATGGAAAGCATTGTGGCGAGGGCCACTGGGTTTTGGTGAGGGCCACAACTTTTGGTTTTTGTCTTTTCTACTTTTTTGCTCATTCTCCTCAGTTTCTTACCAGTTTCATACTCTTTTTCGCATGGAAGCTTTTTTTTAGCATGTATCTGAAATGAAATGAAAATATCGGCATAACAAGAAAAAAATGAACGAAAATGAAACTTAAATGCATGTGAGTCATGTTGAATATACGATATAATTTTGCGTTATCCATCATCAACATAAAGAAACAAAAGAACAAATGAATTACCAGGTCGAAGTCTGAAGTAAACACAATGGTCGAACTGACTTCTAATAAAACTTATGCGTGCCAAAAACTTTTTGAATCTCATATTCAACTATCGAAGAGATTGCTTTAGCCCATATAAAGATCTATTCAACTTGCACAAATAATCTTCCTTTTCCTTTTCGACATACCCTTCATGTTGTCTCATCAGGATTGTTTCATCTAGATCACCATACATGAACAAAGTCTTCACATCCATTTATTCCAGTTCAAGGTCAAACTGTGTCACCATGGCAAGAAAAATTTGAATGGACATGTGTGTCACAATAGGAGAAAACACATCATTAAAGTCAATACCTTCTTTTTTAGTGAAACCCCTTATAACCAACCCTGCCTTGAATATTTTCGATGCCACTTCTTCAATTCCTTCCTTAACTTTGAAAATCCATTTACAATTGATAAATCTGGCTCCAGAAGGTTTCTTGATCATTTCCCAAGTGTTGTTTTCATGAAGATATTTCATATCATCATCCATGGCCTTCAGCCATTCAGTCTTATGTCGACTCTTCATAACTTCCTTATGGTCTCTAGGTTCTTCGTCTAGAACCTCACTTTTGAGATTAAGACATAAGCTATAAGATCTACATACCCAAGTCTCTAAGGTGGCTTGATGACTCTTCTCGTTCTATCTCTTGCCAATAAGTAGTCATCAACAATTTCCTTAACTCCCTAGCTTCTTCTGCTTCTTCTTTGAGTTTATCTGGGATACGCAATTCAGCATCAACATGCTCCACCTCAACAAGAATCTTTCCTTGTTCCAGCTCTTCGTCAGATATTTCTGCACTCCGATCAACATAATCAGTTTTCTTTAAAGTCATTTCAGCTTCATTAAAAACTACATCTCGACTGGTGATACATCTCTTGTGACCTGGCTCTAGGCACCATAGCCTATAAGCTTTGACTCCTTCAGGGTATCCCATGACCATACATTTCAGAGCTCTAGGTTTGACCTCTTCTTGCCTAATGTGACCATAGGCTACACAGCCAAATACTCTCAGTTTGTTGAGATCTGGTGGATGTCCTGACCAAACTTCTTCAAGTATCTTCATATCTAACGCAGTCGAAGGACATTTGTTTATCAGATATGTAGTTGTCGAAACAGCCTCATCCCAAAACACCTTATTTAATCCTACACTAGTCAACATGCATCTAACTCTCTCCAAAATAGTTAAGTTAAACCTTTTATCCAAATCATTTTTTAGTGGAGTACCTGCAGTAGTTATGTGCCTTGCAATACTAGAAGTAGAACAAAACTGTCAAAAGCCTCATTGTAAAATTCAAGGCCATTTTCGGTTTTCAACCTCTTGACCTTTCTGCCTATTTTATTTTTGACCAGAGTCTTCCAACTTTTGAAATTCTCAAAAGTTTCATCCTTAGTCTTCTGAATGAATACCCATAACCTTCTAGAATAATCATCTACTATGGATAGAAATACCTTGCTCCTCAATGTGATGGACACCTTGCAGGCCACCATAGATCAGCATGGATATAATCAAGGGATCCATGTGTTCTTTGTTTGTCTTTGTTGAACTTCACTCTACAAGATTTTCCAATTACACAGGGTTCACAAAATTTCAGCTTTTCGACTTTGTCTCCACCAAGCACATTTTGTTTCCCTAATTCGACGAGACCCCTTTCACTAACATGACCCAATCTCATGTGCCAAATTTTTGTCTTCGATAAAGGCTTTGTGGATGCAATATTTTTCGAACCACTTACAACTTCAGCTTCAAAGGTATATAAGCCTTGATTCTTCATGCCTCTCAAGACTTCCTTCGACTCCTTCATGACTCTTCGGATGCTTTTCTCTCCCTGGAAGACATATTCTTTCTTGTCGAATTCACCAAGAGAAATTAGATTTATCTTCAAATCAGGTACATACCTCACTTCAGTCAACAACTTTATTGACTCATCATGGAGCTTTAATCTCACAAATCCAACACCTTAAATATTGCAAGCTTTGTTGTTTCCCAGCAATACATATCCACCATCTTGATAACACAATTCCTCGAACAAGTCTTTGTTTGGAGTCATGTGCCAAGTGCAACCTGAATCCATAATCTTTTTTTTAGTCGCTGCTTGAAACCACAATAATATCATATGAGTTGAAATCATCCTGAGCTATAGCTGCATGGCCATTATCCTTACCTCTATGATCTTTTAAGCGTTCAGGACACACCTTTCTTATGTGACCCTCCTTCTTACAATGATAACATCGAATACCAGATGCTTCCCCACTATAAGACTTCTACTAACTTTTACCTTTCTTCTTGTCAAACTTACCATCCCTTCGCAAGAATTTTCCCTTAACGGCCAAATCTTCACCAACCGTCGAAGGTTTATGCTCCTTTAGTTCGTTCAAGTTCTTAGAATACAAGGTTGATTGAACTTCTTCAAAGATCAGGGACTCCCTTCCATACAAGAGAGTTTCTTTTAAGTGAACACGTGTTCTGAGAAAAACGCACAATAGAAACAACGCTTGATCTTCATCATCCATCTTCACATTAATATTTTCAAGATCAAGAATCAGCTTGTTGAACATATCCAACTGCTCAGCCAACACTTTATCTTCAATCATCTTTAATGAATACAAAGCCTGCTTCAGGTATAGTCGATTTACCAACAATTTGGTCATGTATAAACTTTCAAGTTTCACCCATAACCCTGATGTCGTCGTCTCCTTTGATACATGTCGAAGAATCTTATCACCAAGGCTCAACAAGAATGCATTGTGGTCTTTCTCTATCATGTTGAACCAATAGGGCTTTCATCTTCTATCCCCATAAACCAAAATCGTTCACTCCGATGACTTTTTCAATCTCATACTTTGTTGAAGGCATCTTTTCCACGCTCACTGCACCAATTTGTTATGAAACACGATACCTTCAAAACAAAGTATAACAGGGTTCTTCAAAGCAAAAAACCCCAAGGATAGAAAAGAATAAAAAACACGAAGAACAACAAGGATTGATTATTAACTGTTATTCTTTACTTTCTCTTCAAACAATATTACAAGTACACAAGAATAATAAATAACCCTCTCACCCTAAATTAGGATTTACGGTATGCAATAATGAGAGACTAGTATGCTATTTATAATAAACCTAACATACTAAACTAATAGGCTTTTTCACAAATACTCATTTCAAGCTAACTTAGGGTACAAGCTTACTTAAACAATTGGACATAATAAACAAGCCCAATTCGAAATACTAACAACCCTAAAATTTCGACATCCACGTACTAGAACACACTTCGACTATAGTATGTAGGTCTTTGACACCAGTATGTGATCATACTTCAACGATATGCATAAATCCTGTCGAACCAGAAGCTACTCTTCGACTCAATAGAGTTTGATCTAATATCTCACAAATACCATTTCATTTCACTCTCAATACTTTTAAAGATAATTTGGTTACAACCACATCCACAAAATGTGGAGAATATTCTAACATAAATAGCCACTAGAATTTTAAAAACCAGCTTCTGTAACTGAAAATTAAAACTATATTTCTGACTAGATTAAATAAAGTTCAATAACAATTTCACACAAACTACCATTAGCTTAACTCATCAGCCCTCCATTTTCATCTCTGCTAAAGATTTTGATTTCTCTACAATAAGTGGTTCTTCCAAATCTATTATATTACTTCTTTCATCATCCTCTATGTTTGATTGTGTTGGCTCTTGTTTCGTCACATTAATATCTTTAACTTTACCCCATAACACAAAATACAAACCAACTATCACTCCAAGAGCCCCCACCAAGCTGAAATGGACATATAGAATCATGTGAGTGAGTATAGACCACACACAAAATAATACAATTATATATATGAAGTATTGTATTACCTTCCAACATAAAGTTGTTCATGTAGAAACGTAGTAGCTACCAAAGCTGTGAAGACAGCTGCTAGAGGGTTGAACATTACACAATACAATGGACCTCTTTGTGATATGCACCACGATTGAACGAAAAAGCTAATCGCAATTCCAATTCCCTATATCACCAAAAATAACGATTTTAGTATTAGACAAATAAAATTGCGACAAATGATACAGACTAAATTGTTTCTAAGGGTCATGTGACAGACTTACTGAATATAAAATGCATGAAATTTGTAAAGGTGAATGTAAAATCCTTGATTGAACATGATTTTCTTGGATCACAACAAATATAGCCGACTGTATTGTTGCAAATAGACACATCCAAAAAGACGATAACATATGATCCGGGCAGTATGAAGAAATTGGTATCTGCATAATCATCCAACACGCCCAAAAAATACTACTTGCTAAGAGCAACAAACAACCCAGAATCCAATTATCATCTCCACTAGCAGTGAGATATTTGGGATCAGAAAGACTAAACTCCATGAGTACCAATTTATTTCCTTTGAGAAATGCAATGGTTAAGGCTCCACTGACACAACAAATCGTCCCTAATATTTTGGCTATGCTTCTTAAACTTCGAAGGTCAATTTTCTCAAATCTAATCATTTAAAAACAAGAAAGGTTATTATATATTACTATATCTCCGGTCCTTAATATAAGAAAAAGCTTATTTTTTAGATTAATTAAAGAATCAATGTATCTGAACTATATAATAGTCCAGATACATTGATTCTTCAATGAATCTAAAAAGTAAATTTTTTTCTTATATTAGCTAGCATAAAATTACTAATTTCTGTGAGAAATTACCCCAAAAGTGCTGCTAATACAAAAGTAAATGCAGGTATCAAATTAGTCATAGCAGTAGCTACGGTAGAGGATGCATAGTATAAACCACAAAAATATGCATTCTGATTTACTGTAACCCTGCGTGTAATCAATAACAAATCTCGGTAAGTTCCAATCGATTGCAGATATAGTTGCAGGTGTTGCAATTGTGATCATTGCAATTTCTGCAGCATAAAGTGTTGCAGATGCAAAGACTACCACATCAGCAATATCATAAATTATATCACAATTTAGAACTATATCACAAGTTATTTAGAAAACTATACCCAAAAAGTGATGTCAAAAACATCCATGAGATACCCTTTAATCCTAGTGATGACCTCAAAGATCGTCTCCTGCAATAAAAAAATAAAAAAAAGAAGCATATATTATGAGCTGAGAATAGGAATAATGATAAGAGAGGGAAAGTTGATGAAATATATACCTCTTATTAGAGAGAAAGATGAAAGGTGCCAATGCCAAAGTTGCTATGCCTTGCCTATACATTACATAGATTGTTGGACTCAATCCATCGGAAAAAGCATGTTTTATCAATATTGCAAGCACTGTATAATGAATTTGTAACCCTATCATAATCATAACAATCAATAAACCACTCATTTTGAGATGAATCAAATATGAAAAAAAGTTATTCACTTTCTTAGCTCAAAGGTTTTATAATCAAACTTATCGAAGTACAACGTTTTTGCTAAAAAGAAAAGTTTAATTACTCTAATGTATTATATTATATTAATCAAAGTACTTTTAACTTCAAATTCAATGTATTTTTATTTTAAAATTAATATTTTTTATTTAATTTATAAAATTTTAATATTTTGAAAAAAATTCAATGTATTTTTAATTTAAAATTACTATTGTTAATTATAATTTATAAATTTTTGACTTTTTGAAAAAAAAATCATAATTTGAAATTATTTAGAGACATTCTATAAATACAATTAAAAGCTAGAAATAAACAATTTTTGTAAAATATATATTAATATAAAATTATTCTAGAGATATATATTAAAAAATGTTCCTATCTCAATCTCAGTCTCAACCTAAGAAGTGACCCAATGAGAAATAAGCTTCATATATAGTACTGACATTTTTAGAGATATTTGAAAGGAAATTTGGTCCAGTTTTAAGAGAATTTAATACCCAAAAAAAATAAAAAAATATGTGATTTGAATTAAATTTGTATATTTTTGCGAGAAAGTTCAAACTGAACTAAACCAAAAAATAATATTTTGACTTCGGTTTAATTGGGTTGGATTGATAAGATATATTAAAAATAAATATAGAAAAAATATTTAAAAAAAACATATCTAATTTAGATCAAATTAATTTTTGTATAGTAATATAAAATTCATAATTATTTTTTTCTGTGTTTAGGTGAATCTCATAAATGATATTTTCACCACCGGTATACTCTGATTTAGAGGTCAATTTTGGCATTAAGTAATTTAAGCTCTTTTCCAATCGCAGTTGTGGGGAATCCAATCGCAGTCCTCTCTTCCAAATTCAGCGTCAATCACCACTATTGTCCAAACTAATTAACATTGGATTTCATTAGTTTGATTTGGTTTTTGTCTGAACTGAAAAAATATTCAACTCAACCCAAACACAATGATTTGATTTGGATTTCGGTTTGGTTCAGATTTGCTCGAACAAATGAACACTCTTAAATGTTGGAGCCAATATTTTTAAAATCGGACCGCTCATCAAACCAGTGAGAATTATGGGTCATTGATTCATTGGTCGAACCACTAAGTCATTGGTCGAACTACATGATAAATCAGATTGAACTGAATAATTTGGTTGAATAAATCACTTTCTATAATAAAACTATATAGTTATTAAACTAGTCGAACGAGACCGGATGACTCGGTCTCCAAAAAAATCACGACACCAACAAAATTTCAAATGTTCAAAATGTCATGATTTCACAAATTCGCTCTTTAAATTAAAATTATAAATATAGTCATCATACACAACAAATTGTATAAAATAAATATCCAAATAAATTCTAAACAAAGTTTAATTAGAACATAAACTGAATAAAAAAATAATTGCAATATTAATAAATTTAATTCTAAAGAAAGAATGTTGTTCCAATAAGTTTTGAATAAAGTCAACTTATATTTTTAGTTTACTTTATTTTTTAAATTTATCAAAATGACTTCATTTTGTTTCAGAAAAAACAAATCAGATCGATCTTTAAACCGGTGAGATTATTAGGTTTATTGGTGGAACTACTAAATCATTGGTAGAACCGCATAACTAAATCGAATTGAACTAAATAATTAAATTGAATAATTCAATCTCTATAATAAAACAATATAGTTATTAAACTGGTCGAATAAAATTGGACGACCCAGTCTTTAAAAAAATCATGTCACCAACAAAAATCACGACACTTCGAACGTTCCTGTTAATCTTGTAAACTGAATATCAACAAATAGGACTGTCCAAGAAAAGAATATGAACTGGGCTCGGTGAAGTGTGGATGCTTGCGGCGGCAAGGTTAGCTGAAATAGTTTTGGATCCTTCATATGCTATTTTTGAATGATAATACTTCTCAAACATAATTTATGAAAGACAGATGCATAGAGAACAACACATAGAAATTCAAAAAATGATCATAATGCAAAGAAAAAAAATGCATGAACATTATTACTAAAATGATCAATATATTAACAAACCACTAAAAGTTTAAAAATCGTTAGTCTATCAAAACTTTGAATCATGAAATGCTTTCATGCTAACCAATGGTAAATTAAGCTTACCAGCTCCTTTGCAAAGACCGTTTGGAGAATTCTCAAATACTGCTTTTATAATTAACCTCAAAACCGAAATCAGGCGCCCCAATGCTGCAAAACCAACAAGCAAATACTGTAGAAATAAAACCCTTAAAATAATGCAGATGTTGAAGATATTTTTTGAACCACATTGTAGTAATTTCATTGGTATGTTTACCTGAATGAATTCTTAAAGCATGTAGGACCAGTCTCCAGCCATTCCCCCTTGTACATAATATGTAGCTGTCAATTTAATATATATATATATATATATATATATATATATATATATATATATATATATATATATATATATATATATATATATATATATATATATATATATATATATATATATATATATATATATATATGTAAATCTTGTTGTTATTATTAACATTTCTATATTGTTTAATTTTAAAAAAAAAGTTATCAATACAGAAATAGAAAGTAAGCAGACAACGACCTGCATCGCTATTCCTTTTTCGATCGCAAAATCAATCCTATTAAAATCTACATACACCTAGTTGAGACAAAATTGCTAGTCATAAGCTTTTGAACACTATGTAAAAGATCAACTGCTAAAAGTGTCAAAGGCCTATAGGAACGAAAACTTGTTAAAACAAGATATTTGAATCTCTCAACTCAATTTTCTCAGTTTCTATAACAAACACTTTCCAACATACCATCTGATATCGAGTGAATTTATGGAAAATTCTATGGTGAATATTCAATGATCGAAGTCAATGGAATGTGCAAACTATAAAACACATACAATGATTTACAATGAATATCATTCAATGATCAAAGTTAGTGGAATGGGTCAACTATTAATCACATACAATGATCTAATATGGGATCACATCCAATAATCAAAGTAAATGGGATGGGTCATCGATGAGTCATATTATATGATAAAAGCTAATGGAATGGGTGAACTATGAATCACATTCAATGATTAAAGTCAATGGAGTTAGTCAACTATGAATCACATACAATGATCTACTATGAATCACATTAAATCATTAAAGCTAATGGAATGGATGAACTATGAATCACATTTAATAATTAAAGCCAATGAAATGGGTAAACTATGAATTAGATTCAATGATCAAAGCCAATGGAATGGATGAACTATGAATCATATTCAATGATCAAAGTTAATTAAATGGGACAACTATGAAACACATATAATTATCTACTATGCGATCACATTCAATGATCAAAGTCAATGGAATGGGTCAACTATGAATCTCATTCAATGATCAAAGTCAATAGAATGGGTCAACTATAAGTCACATTAAATTATCCACTATGAATCAAATTCAATAATCAAAGTCAATGGAATGAGTCAACTATTAATTTCATAAAATGATCTACTATGAGATCACATTCAATGATCAAAGTAAATGGAATTGGTCACTTATGAATCACATTATATGATTATAGTCAATAGAATGAGTCAACTAAGAATCACATTCAATGATCTATTTTGAATCACTTTTAATGATCAAAGTAAATGGAATGGGACAACTATGAATCACATACAATAATCAAATATGAATCACACTCAATGATTAAAGCCAATGTAATGGTTCAACTATGAATCAAATTCAATTATTAAATTCAATGGAATGGGTGGACTCTGAATCAAATTCAATTATCAAAGCCAATACAAAGGGTGAACTATGAATCACATTCAATGATCAAAGCCATTGGAATGGGTCTACTATGAATCACATATAATGATCTACTATGACTCACATTCAATGATCAAAGCCAATAGAATGGTTCAACTATGAATCACATTCAATGATAAATGCCAATGCAATGAGTGAACTATGAATCACATACAATATTCTACTATGAATCACATTCAATGATCAAATCCAATGGAAGTGGTGAAATATGAATCACGTTCAATGATAAAAGCCATTAGAGAGGGTGGTCTATGAATCACATTTAATGATCGAAGCCAATGGAATGGGTCCACTATGAATCACGTACAATGATCCACTATGAATCAAACTCAATGGTTAAAGTAAATGGAATAGGTCAAATATGAATCACATACAATTATATAATATGAATCATATTCAATGATCAAAGCTAATGGAATGTGTCAACTATGAATCATATTAAATGATCAAAGCCAATTAAATCATTGAACTATGAATCACATTTAATGATCCAAGTCAATTGAATGGGTAAACTATGAATCACATACAATAATCTATAATGAATCACATTAAATGATCAAAGTCAATGGAAAGGATGAACTATGAATGACATTAAATGATCAAAGCCAATAGAATGGATGAACCATGAATCATATTCAATGATCAAAACCAATAGAATGGGTCAACTTTGAATCACATACAATAATCTACTATGAATCACATTCAATGATTAAAGCCAATGGAATGGGTAAACTATGAATCACATTCAATGATCAAAGTCAATGGAATGGGTCAAATATGAATCACATACAATGATCTACTCTGATATCACATACAATTATAAAATCCAATGGAATGGGTCAACTATGAATCACATACAATGATTAAAGTCAGTGAAATGGGTCAACTATGAATCATATTCAATTATCAAAGCCAATGGAATGGTTAACCTTTGAATAACATTCAATAATCTACCATGAGATCACATTCAATGATCAAAGTCAATGGAATGGGACAACAGTGAATCACATACTATGATCAAAGTCAATGCAGTGGGTCAACTATGAATCACATTCAATGATCAAAGTCAATGGAATGGGTAAACTATGAATTACATTCGATGATCTATTATGAATCAAAT